AGGGTAGAGGGGATGCGATGTGGAAGCCCAGACTGTTGCATAGTCAGCCTAATGCATGAACCATTGCATAATCGCGGGTTGCGGGGGCTCTAAGGTGCTTCAGTTCTGTAGGTCAGGAGAGAGGAGCAGCCCGTGTCCCTATGTGGAGGGGGAGGGGGCTACGATGGATTGTTCAGTGTACCAGGGCCAAGGAGGAAGCATTGGTTGTGGTGGTGGTGAGGTAGCCAGGCTGGATGGAAGTTGGAGGGAAGGAGCTACACTTTGTTCTCAAGTAGCAAGAGGTGGCCGGGCACGGTGGCTCATGCCTGTAGTCCCAGTACTTTGGGAGGCCGAGGCAGGCGGATCACCTGAGGTTGGGAATTCGAGACCAGCCTGGCCAACATGGCAAAACCCCGTGTCTACTAAAAATACAAAAATTAGCTGGGCACGGTGGCGAGTGCCTGTAATCCCAGTTACTTGGGAGGCTGAGGCAGGAGACTTGCTTGAACCCGGGAGGCAGAGATTGCAGTGAGCAGAGATTGAGCCATTGCACTCCAGCCTGGGTGACACAGTGAGACTCTGTCTAAAGGGTGTGTTGGGGGGAACCAAGAGGCATGAACGCACTGTCCACGGAGGAATTATAGTGGATTGGTCTGTGATCATGGATCACATATTTCCAGCCAGGGGGAAGCATGGATTTTGTGCTGATGCTGAAAGCGGTGCGGGGCTTGGGACTCATCTGGAATGTTGTTCTGGGCCAGTTATAGCATTAGACTAGTATTGCAAAGGTGACGGCCCTTTCTTAGTGGGAGAGCTGCCCTGAAAGAATCCATTGCCCTGACTTGCGGGTGTAGCAATGTTGGACTGCAGTGAGACAGAATTAAAGCAGTGCTTCCCAAAATTTAATGTATAGTGTGGTGGCACGCACCTGTAGTCCCAGCTACTTGGAGGACTGAGGCAGGAGGATCGCTTGAGCCCAGAAAACCGAGGTCAACCTGGGCAACATAGCAAGACCCTGTCTCTAAAAAATAAACAAATACGGTCAGGTGCAGTGGCTCATGCCTATAGTCCCAGCACATTGGGAGGCTGAGGCGGCCAGATCCATTGAGGTCAGGAGTTCGAGACCATCCTGGCCAACATGGTGAAACCCCGTCTCTACTAAAAAATACAAAATCTCAGCTACTTGAACTCAGTACGGGGAGTGTGCAGTGAGACGAGATCGTGCCACAGTACTCCAGCCTGGGTGACAGAGCGAGATTCTGTCTCAAAAATAAATAAAGGCCGGGCGCGGTGGCTCAAACCTGTAATCCCAGCACTTTGGGAGGCCGAGGCGGGTGGATCACGAGGTCAAGAGATCGAGACCATCCTGGTCAACATGGTGAAACCCCGTCTCTACTAAAAATACAAAAAATCAGCTGGGCATGGTGGCGCATGCCTGTAATTCCAGCTACTCAGGAGGCTGAGGCAGGAGAATTGCCTGAACCCAGGAGGCGGAGGTTGCGGTGAGCCGAGATCACGCCATTGCACTCCAGCCTGGGTAACATGAGTGAAACTCCGTCTCAAAATAAATAAATAAATAAATAAATAAATAAATAAATAAATGAAAATAAAAAAATATAATGTATATTTCAAGTCACCTGAGGGTCTTGTGAAAATGCAGATACAGACTTCAGTAGGTGTGGAATAAGGTCTGAGATTCTGCTGTTCCACCAAGTCCACAGATGATGGTGACACTGCAGGTCTCAGGACTACTGTTTGAGTAGCCAAGAGTATATGCTGTCACAAAGGTCTGGAAGACGACTCTGCATCAGTCCGTTATCCTGAGCAGAGATGGGTCATTATCTTGCTATGGGGTGGGCAAAAAACCTTGGACTGGGGGGCTGGACTGTACCCCTCTCATGCACAGTGGGAAGGGGCCAAAGGGCCTGACTCCTCCCTCACCTGCCCATGGCCCCAGATCCTGGCATATGGCGACATGAACCACGAGTGGGTGGGGAACGACTGGCTGCCCAGCCTGGGGCTGCCCCAATACCGCAGCTACTTCATGGAGTCGCTGGTGGATGCCCGAATGTTAGATCACCTTAACAAGAAGGAGCTCCGGGGCCAACTCAAGATGGTGGACAGCTTCCACAGGTGGGGGCTGCCTGGTCAATGGGGATAGTCCAAAGGGAATCCCCGCCCCAGAGAGTCTTTGGCCAATGGGATTGGCCTTGGGAGATTCCTAGGCTTATCTTGGCCCTTTTAGCCTGGGTTCTCAGGATATCCTTACTCTGTGCCCCTTTCACCAATGCGATGGTCCACAGGAAAAGTTCATTCAGATCCTGAGACGGCTTGGCTAGTTAACCCCGTACCCCTTTCCAGGCTGGCCAATAGGAATTGCCTGTTGAAAATGCCTGACCTCCAGAGGGGGTCAACAGTCAATAGAACTGATCAGCTCTCTACCCTTTCCAAGAAGAGCATAGTCAGTGGGGAGGGACCTGTAGGAGCAGCAGCCAGGGGGATTGGAAGGCTCATCCGTGACTCCCCTTCCCCTGCTGCTCAGGGTGAGTCTACATTATGGGATTATGTGCCTGAAACGGCTCAACTACGACCGGAAGGACCTGGAGCGGAGGCGGGAAGAGAGTCAGACCCAGATCCGAGGTGAGTAGAGTGTAAGGGTCCCTCTGGGAGCCAGGTGGAGGTTGTGGAGCTGGATGGGGAGGAGACTGGGTCGGGGGGAGGCCGGAGAAGAAGATTGGCACGTGGAACCAGCGTAGGGGGCGTGGCCCGAAGAGAGGAAATGGAGGTGGGGGTATGGGCTAAACTGGACTTTCCAGGCCAAGGGACGGACACGGCTGAGGGTCCCTTCCATCCCCAGACGTGATGGTGTGGTCCAATGAGCGGGTCATGGGTTGGGTGTCCGGCCTCGGCCTGAAGGAATTCGCCACGAACCTCACGGAGAGCGGGGTACACGGGGCACTGCTCGCCCTGGACGAGACCTTCGACTACTCCGACCTGGCCTTGCTCCTGCAGATCCCCACGCAGAATGCACAGGTGAGCTGCCGCTCGGCCCGCAGCATGCTGGGCGTCCCCGCCTCGCAGACTGCACGCTCCAACCGCCCCCTCCACCTCCCCTTTCCAGGCCCGGCAGCTCCTGGAGAAGGAATTCAGCAACCTTATCTCCTTAGGCACAGACCGACGGCTGGACGAGGTGGGCGCTCTGCTCCCAGCGGCGCGCTGAGGGGGCGGGGCCTGGCTATTAACAAGTCACGGTTGGAGGCGGGGCCAGGAGAGGGGCGGGGTTAAGGGAGAGGTGAGACCCTGAGAAGGGTGGAGTCAAAGGAAGGGGCGGAGTCAGACGAGGCCCGAGTCCCTCACCGGCTGCCCGGCTCCTATACCTAGGACAGCGCCAAGTCCTTCAGCCGCTCCCCATCCTGGCGGAAGATGTTCCGGGAGAAGGACCTTCGAGGCGTAACTCCCGACTCAGCTGAGATGTTGCCCCCTAACTTTCGTTCGGCTGCAGCAGGAGCCCTGGGCTCTCCAGGTCTCCCTCTTCGCAAGCTGCAGCCAGAAGGTGGGGGGGCTCCCAAATGCGACAGCCCCTCCTCCCTTCCCTAGGGTGGGACATGGACCACCTCAGTAGTCTGGGTTCTGGAATGGCCTAGTCCTTTCTCCCCCCTGAGGAATGGACTGCTCCAACGTTCCGGACTCCCCATTCAGGATGGAATGGATGAATCCCACTCTCCCTTCCCAGGGCGGAGAGTGAACTCGCCCAAAGCGAGTTTGAGTCCTTGGCTGCAGGGAAGGGAGGGAAACCCACGTGGAGCCCGGCGAACGTTGTGACAGCGGGAGGGGGAGTCCAAAGGGAGGACTCCTGGAGAGGAACAGGGAGGGGGGAGCTCCAGGCTGAACCGCTGCTCGCTCTCCCTCCAGGCCAGACTTCTGGGAGTTCCCGGGCAGACGGCGTTTCGGTCCGGACCTATTCCTGCTAGTGTAGGATTCCAGGTGAGGACCGTGCTGGGCGACCTTGGGGGTGCGGGGCGGCACGGTGGGTCTTCACTGCTCCACGCGCTGCCCGGCGTCATGCAGGTGACCTCACTCGGACGGAAGGATCTTCCCGAAGCTGGGCTGTTCCCTCTCCTGCCCAGTGTGGCCTCGCCGGGGAGAGCGGGCGGGGGAGCTCGCGCCGAGGACTGGACCATCTGTACAGCCCAGCGGGACTTGCGAGCGCCCGCCTCGCACACGGCCGGGGCCTGGACCAAACCACACGAACTGTACTGAGAGGGGGAAGAAGCGGGCAGGAAGCAATCCCGCCCCAAACGTCCGCCTTCCTTTTCTCTACTTTGTAATTTATTGATCAGTTTCTGTTGGGAGACGGGTGTCCTTTACCCGCGGGAAGTGGGCGAGACTTCCCTCCCGGGCCGCATGCGGGGAGAGGCTGCCCCCTCCCCTTTTTCCTGCCCAGTCGCGGGGCCCAAGTCTTCCTTCTTCGTCCGCAAGGAGGGGAGGGGGGACTCGCTGCTACAAGCCTCGCCCCCTGTGCCACTCAGCCCCGCCCCGCCGCGTCCGGTCGCCGGTCCCCCGGGTCATCTGCGGGCGGGGTCCCCTCTCCCTCCCCCGTGTCTCGTGTCCCCGGGGCCTCACCGCCCCCAGTGCTGTGGCCATGTCCGTGCCCCGGGGGTAGGGGGCGCTGAAGTGCTCTCCCCCTTCCCCTCTGGCTCCGGGGTTTGCATGGGAGAATCCTCTTTCCACGATGCCGCTGGGCGACATGGCGTGGGGGCAGGGGGGTGGTGGGGGACCCCTCGCCCCCGACTCTCGGTCGGCCTCCCCGCCCCAGGCGTCACTCAGTGATCACGGGTAAAGAGAACTGTTTCAAAAAGCTCCCTTGTTGACTGATTTTTTGGGGTGCGGGGGGTTCAACTAACAACTTCGAGGAGCCAGGAGTCCAGGCCCCTCATCCCTCAAGTCTGGGTCCAGGTCCCTAGACCATACCCGCATTCCCTGATGCCCTGAGATTCTCAGACCCCACGTCTGACAATGGAGTTTCGGGAAGCACGTTTACTCAGAGAAATAAATATGGCTCGTGGAAAGGGGTTGGAAAGCAGGAGGAGGTACAACTGCGTCGCAGCCGCGCAGCTGGGTCAGGGTTCCGGTGTTTCCAGCATGTCCGCCAGGGCCCTGGAGAGGAGGACGCCAGAAGTTAGACAGCTGGTGTTCAAAGCTCACCCCAGGACGCTTAGAGATCATTAACCTGCCCATTCCATGGACGGGGAAGTGGAGTCCCAGAGCCATCCGTTAACTCATAGCGAGACAAGCACTTCTGTAAACTGGGCCTTTACACTCCCCCCAGCCCATACTTACTGATATAGGGAGGAGGAGAAATAGTCGACGTAGCTTCCTGTGGGAGAGCAGAGAAGAGAGGCTTGGGGAGTACTGCACGAGCAAAATTAGGGGGGCACTCAGTATGGCGTGCGAGATTAGTGCTAGCTCCACGCGCTTTTCCCTAATTCCTTCTTCAAACTGAATCATCTTCTACAGGACTCCTTTGGGGGCACGCCGCTTTTTCGTTCTGGGTGATTCCGTTATCCAGGGGCCTCGCCCCTTCGATTCCTACTTGAGTTGGCCTCGCCCATTGGGCTGTAGGCCCGCCCCTCAACCCTCCGCTGATTTCTGTCCCTTGGCTTCAGCAACTCCACCTGGGTTCCTTGGGCCAGGTCCCGACCCACGTGCTCACAGCCTTGGCCACGCCTCCCTTCTTGGCCCCGCCCACCAGCCTTCCGGGCCAGTCCCTCAGGCTTGGCTCCGCCCTCACCAGGATTCCCCACGCTGGTGAGGAATTCCCCAGGGCCTGGCCCCTGCCTCAGGTTTTTCCAGGGCCCCTCCCATGCTCACCTGGAGTGCAGACCGTTTCGCAGACAAGCGGGCAGAGATAACAGAACTGACAGTGCTGGGGGCGGGGGACAGGGAGAGAGACAATGAGCGTGCGGTGTGGCCGGGGGCGGAGCTAGGACGGGGCCGGGACCAAACCCGGACAGAGGCGAGCTCTAGGTTAAGGTTGGAGTCAGGATCGCTTGTGGAGTCAGGGTTGCATCAGGGGTAAAGGGTTGGGTCAGAGACCAGGATTTAGGGCTGGGGTCCTCAGAGGGTCCCGGTGCATCCTGAGGCCCAGTGGAGCCCTGAGTGTGAGGTGAGGTCTCACCTGGCACTGGTCACAGTGCTCACCCATGCTCTCCTCATCACAGTGACAGCTCTCGCATTCCGTGCAACGCTGCGGACCGGGGGAGCCTGGTTAGACGGAAACTCTAACCCCACTTGGGACACACCCGCCCCTGGACATTTCCCCAGACTCTACCCTCTGCAACTTCCGCCTCCCGGGTTCAAGCGATTCTCCTACCTCAGCCTCCCCAGCAACTGGGATTACAGGCGCATGCGACCACGCCCGGCTAATTTTTGTATTTTTAGTAGAGACAGAGATGAGGTTTCACTGTGTTGGCCAGGATGATCTCAATCTCTGACCTTGTGATCCACCCACCTCGGCCTCCCAAAGTGCTGGGATTACAGGTGTGAGCCGCCGCGCCCAGCCGACCCTACGCTGTTTACCTCTAACACTGAGCTCCGTATCTGCCCCCAAAACCAGCCTCTCTCCCCTCCCCTGCCCCTGGTTTTCTATCTCAAGGTGACCCCATGTCCCCCAGTCAGGGTGGGCTGGACTTCAGATACTCTCTCCACTCCCTCTCTCCCTATGCTCCCTCTGGCCGTTCAGCTCGCGTGCCGTCCCTCTTGCTCTCTGATTCTCTTTGCCACAGACCTCTGTCTCTGTCCCCACATCCTCAGATGCAGCTTACGTCTTGTCCTCTCCTTCCTGGACCATTGCTCCAGCCTCTTCCCCAGCCTCCAGCCTCCCGTCTCTCCTCACCTCACGTCCCTGCAGAAGTATCTCTTTCCACTCAGAACTGACCCTGGCTTGCTCTTACTCTGAGCCCTCCCACAGCACCACCCCAGGGCCCTGGGACAGATTCTGGGGACATCTTGGTGGGTGGATCTGGGCTGGGGACATACATTGCAGAAGGAGCAGTAGCCACACAGGGACCCTGGCTGGTAGTTCCCGTACTCCTGAGCATCCTGTGGACCTGTGGGGACAGGAGGGCAGCAGTGACCCAGGCTGACTCGGTTCCTCCCCACCCACACTGGGCTGGGCCATTTACCTGTGTCCTCACCGCTTTCCTCCTCACTGGAGGCACCTCCAGCCTCCTCTCTCCCCTCCAGTGGGTTGGGGATGATGGTGAAGGGGAGCTCATCTTCCTCCAGCCCCTCCTCCTTCTCTTCTTCCTCCTCCCTGTGGTCTGGGCTTTGTGGGGCCCCAACCTCAGCCCTCTCTTCCCTCCTCTCCTCTTCCTCCTCCTCCTCATCCTCCTCTTCTTCCTCCTCCTGGTTCAGGTGGAGGCCATGACCTTCCTCCTCATCCTCCTCATCTTCGTGGTCCTGGCTGCCATGGTGGTTGCCTTTCTCTTCCTGCTCTGAGCTGTCATCATCTTCCTCGTGGGAGCCGGGGTCCTCTTTCTCCTTTTCCTCCTCAGAATCATCCTCCCTCACATGGTTTCCATCCTTGACCGCTGTGTGTCCTGGGGGGTGATGGCTCATCTCTTCAATGGACTCTGCTTGACCATGGCCAGTTTCTTCATCTTGGTGGCTTTGCCTGTGGCTGGAGGCCTGGTGGCCCAGCTCAGCAGAGATGTCCTCATCTTCCCTGTGGACCCTGTGGTGGTGACGGTGAGGGACTTCTGTTTTATACTCCTCTGGGGCATCCTCCTCACCATTCTTGTGGCCTTCAGGTTGGTGGCTTGCAACATGGTGGCTGAACTGGACTATGATCTCCTCTTCTTCCTCCTCCTCCTCTGCAAGGCCATGGTGGACATGTTGGGGGCCCTGGCGCCAATGTTCAGTGAACATATCCTCATCTTCTTCCTCATCTCTGTGGCCTAGGTGCTCGTGGTCAGGGACATGATGGTGGTGTTTGCCTGACACAGCCTCATCCTCTTCCTTTCTGTGGCCTCGGGGCCTGTGGGCCTGGTGTCCATGCTCAGTGGAGATGTCATTATCATCATCATCATCGTCATTCTCATCTTCTTCGTGGCCTCGGTGCCTG